AGGTTTCTGTCGCTGAAAATGCTCTTTCTGAATAAATAAAAGAAGCGAGGAGTAAAAAGTACGTGACAATACAAGAATGTAGTTTAAGAATTTACTATGTGATGTGCGTATTTATGTGTGTGCGTGTGCAATTGTTTTGGGTATAAGTCGGTTTAATCTTGTCTTAGTTTCACCTTTTTGCTCATCGCTATTAATAACAAATATGGGAAAGTTTTTAGGCTAGCAGCATTTTTTTCCTCCTTGATTTCTTTACTTCTTCTTCTTGTTTAATTTCCGCACATTTATCGTTTTTAATGCAGGAAACTTTGACTTGCGTGTTTTGTGGTTTATAATGATGGTGGAGCAAATTTGTTAGAGAAGAAGGAAAAGAAAGGGAAGTCAGAAAAAATCACTCAAATGTGTATATTTTTTTTGAGAAAGCAACTTGCTACTCGAAGTTCCAGACTATGAAGTACTTTCTTTTTGCTTTCATCCTGTTCTATTTTTTCTTATTCTTTTTTACCCTTTCTACTTTTTTTTATTTGGAAATTCTGGTCTACTTTAGCCAATTTGCCACGGTTGTGGGTTATTGATATTTCTACATTTTTATACGTAGAAACTTCAAATGTTTCAGTTTTTCTATATACCGTATTGTTTGGTATTTCGCTGCAGTTGTGCTGTAGTGTTGCTACATATTATTTGTTGTATTTATATTATAAATAGTAGCTAAATACCATTTGTAAATTTGTTATTGTCTGTTATTTAGCTGTCTATTCATATGTATAAATTTAAGCACAGATAGAAATATAAGTAAATGGATAAATATACATGTATATATTTACTCATTTATTTTATCGCTATATATATAGTGATGGAAAATTGTATTTATTTGAGGTCAAATTTTTCCTTCCTGGTTTTGTTCTTTATATTATGCCTAGAACTGCAAGGTAAAGAAGATAGGAGGGGGTGGGAACGAGTGTACTGAAATGTTTTTGAAAGTCAATAAATTTTTCAAATGGTTGATTTTACTTTATTGTTTTCTGTTCCATTTAGCTTGCATATACTCTTACATACTGATGTGCAAGTCTTCTGACGATTTTAATTCCTTCTCAACTTGATGTAGTGGTCTTTCTTGAACTTGTTTAATTTATGAGTTAGGCTACTGATAATGCTGTTTCAACTTTTTGTCCTACATTTTCTACTGAATCATTAACACTTTCACTTGAAATCTTTCAATTTTTTTTTGTTTTTTTTTTTTTTATAGGTCTTTTCCAGCTTTTGAAGAAACAGTTAAGAATTATTTCAAGATATGTATTTATCAGTGTGCGGTTACTTTGGTATTGCTATATTCAGTAATAATAAGTTAAAGCGGTTAACTGAAGGAAATATTTTTTTGTAGCAGCAACATTCATTACACCTGATTTATTTTAGTTGCTTCAGCTTGTTTCTGGCTTCTCTTTTTTTCGCGCTGTTTCTTTATTGATTTCACTCAGCTTCTTTTGCTTCAAATGGATTTTCATTATATCGCTTGTATCGTAAATGAAGACAAAACTTTTAAGCTTACGTTTTTTGCAAGAAAAAGAAGTTAGATAAAGAAAATATGTAGGTTGTTTTTTGTCACCTTATTTGGTACCTCATAGAAATTGGATATTTTTAAAAAAACTTTTCCTTTTTCAAAGATATGGGGTGCATCTGGTTTGATGTTTCAGCAGAATTTTGTCATTCAACTGCAGTTATTTGAAATTTTCTCGTTTATAGCTTCTGAATTTCGTTTTTTTTTTTTTTTTTTTTTTTTTTTTTTTT